TCCTCTCCTGGCTTCAGAAACCTCAGAAAGTAAGGGCACTCTGACCATGGGATATGATTCCATTGAAAACTGCATTGGTTGTCCTCCAAACACTGCAGGCCTCAGGTTGGGGAGAGCAGAGTACAGGCTGTACTCCTTCACACACAGCAAAAATTCTGACAACTTATAAGGGAAATATTTTTTTTTTCAAGTGCTGGGGATCAAACCCACACTTGAGCACGCTACATAATACTCTGCCATTAAGCCATATCCTCACCCCAAGACGACAGAAATCACAATGTAATCATGTGAGGTGGGTATGGTGGCACACCCTGGTAATCCCAGCACGCAGGAGGCTGGGGTAAGGGGATCACGTGTTGAAGGCCAGCCTGTGTAAGACCTGCCTCATAGTAAAATAAAACAGCAAGGAGTGGGGCATCGCTCAAGGCCCCGGGTTCAACCCTCAGTACAAAAACACAAAACACAAATAACAACAACAACAACAAAACCCCAACATTTCTAATTGTCCGAACACCTTCTCTTTACACATTTCTCATGTATATCATTTTTCCCAACGTTCTAAGACCAGAACCAGCCTTGCCACTGCAGCCCAACATGTTCCCAGGAGTGGAGGAGGACCCGAATTATTCAGATCCCATTACACAAGAGACGGACTCTGGGCTGTCTCCTACAGTGTTTTTGGAGTCTTCTAGAATAACAGATATCCATATTAAGTAGTGATTAGTGTCTTAACAGTCCCTGCTTCACTCCCACTGGCAAGTAAAACCTGTTTTACTTCCTTATTTATAAAATTTTCATCACCTTAAAGACAAAAAATGAGATTTAGTTGCCTGGAGTGTGATGTGGTGCCTTTGTTTTGGTTTGGTTTTTACTGTTTTCAAACAAAGCTGGAATCTTTTTTCATAAAATCCCCCAAACTGTAGAAATACTTAAAAGACACGCAGATGCAGTCCCCAGGTGGCCTTGCAGGATGTCACTTTGCTGCCTGTTTACCCAGGATGCCTAACCCACCGCCACTACTGAGGACTCCTTCATATGTCTATGGAAGATAAGCAGCCACAAAAAGTAAAATGTGAGAATAAAATTTCATTAAGACCACCAAAAGCCAATATGAGTCAGAAGCTAACAGCTTCTGCAAGGCGGAATGCTTTCAAAGACCATTCAAGGCTCAGTTTAAAAACAGCAGGATCTCAGGATCACTAGAAAATGTTCTGTGGGGAGGAAGGTCAACCTGCCTATGACATGGTCCAAGAGATGTCTACGCACAAACACCCACACTGCCCAGAACGGAAAGGTAACTAACAGGATTATTACATGATGCTTTCTTCCCTCCCTCCACAGCTCCGCTAAAACCTGGCCCGACCACAGAAGGGGGAAATGCAAACTTGTTCTTTGGCCCTAAACACCTGTTTAGATTTCAAACAATGATCTCTCAAATTTCTATAATCATTAACCTGGTTAATAACATGATCTGATATGACAAGACTCAATTTCACAAAAATAAACTAAAAACCTAGGGGTCAGGACTAGAAAAAGGGGGGGCATTAAATCTATAGGTAATGAAGCTTATAATCCTGTTGGCAGGCACCAGATAGGAATCCAACAGCTGCTGCTGTTTAGACTGCCTTTATATCAGCCTGCCCTCCCTCTTGGATTTCTACCCATCCTCTGAACCTTAGAACACTATTTCAGGAAGACAGAGTTCACATTGCACAAGTAACCTTTGATCTGTGTTCTTGACTAGAAAGATAGTTTTTCCAATACTCTTCTATTTCAAGATTACCTTCTGGATTTACATGTTCCCTAAAAACACAGCTCAAGCACTCAACCACACATGACACTGTAAAAGGGAAATCACAGCCCAAGTCTGCCCCCGACTGCAGTTTACCAATGAGCAGAAACATTCACCTCGGTTTGTCGTTAGCAAACATTTTTTTTTTTCTAGTTTTGGTTTCTGGAAACAGAGTGTCTCTGTTGCCCAGGTTGGCCTCTCTTAACTCTTGGCAATTCTCCTGCCTCTGACTCCTGAGTCCTGGACATGCTGAGATTACAGGCATGCACATTACACTAGTCAAGGCTTTAATTCCTATGTCAGTTGCAAGCAGGCACTGCTACCGTCTCCCCTTTACACGTGAGGGGTCTAAGGCACAGAGGAAGGCAGACAGCGGAGCAGGGACCAAGC